ACCTTGTTCCGGAACATGCTTCATACCATCCGGAACTCACTGGTTCCAGAATGAAACATTGTGAAGTCCAAAGGTTTTTTAGGTGAAACGTTTTCTAACGGTAGCTTTCAGGGATCCTTATCGTGTCTTCCTTGAAACCTGCACAATGTTTGCACATTTCATAAAGCAAACATCCCGCCGTCGTTTGCCGTTTCCAATTCCAATTTCCATCCATCGCAACCTTTCTTCATCGCTGGTCAACTCACCCCTAAAATTAGCAAAACATTAAATGCTACCCGGTTCTAATTTGGATCTTATCATTACATCTTTCGACGTGAACCGTTTCCATCACCTATATAATCTCTTTAAACCCCCATTTATACCTTTACACACACAAATCTCCTCAAAACCCTCTCATCTTCTTCAGTGTTCTTCTGTTCTTCAAGCATTCATCGCATATTGAACAATGACGTCTTCTTCACCCTCCAAAATTGCTCTAACTATTGAAGATGTCAGAAAATCCATTGCAAAGAATAAGTCTTATAAGGGATACTCATCATCCATGTCGACTGAACTCTTCCTCAGGGATACTACACAACTGTTTTTCACTCAATCCAATGGATTTCAATGTACCTATCAGGGTGATGATAGAGTTCATCTTTCATCATCCCATGTCCATCCCTCTCACGAAAATCCCTGAACAACCTCTTCCACTTATCCTTCATCATAAAACATTTACAAGGGTTAATATCGACAACAATTTTCTTGAAACCAAAATCATTGGTGATTGCATTGTGTAAATTCACAAATAAACGTTTCTCAGGGCGATCGGAGTAAAAGAAAACCCAAATGTTTTCAAGGTTCAAGAACCAAACAACCGAGGAATTTCAACAGTTCTTAAACCACATTGGATACGATCAATAATACAAGGAAAAAGACTTCAATAGATCTGCCATTTTCGGTCTTTGGACCGTTCTAATGCAATTTATCATCCGTGGGTTGTCTAGAATGCATGGAGGTATGGACACTGAGCAAGGATTGGCTGTATGTTGTTTACAACATCTTCTCTGGAAAAGACAATGGCGTTGATCTTACTAAGGTGCTCTAGCAAGACTTCCAAAAGTTTTCCATCAAGCGAAAAGAGAATGAGATTTCAAGCCCTAGGTTTTGGGTCCTGGCGATCTAAGAGCTCTAAAGAGAAAGGTCCGAACCTATCCAAGTTTCTACAATTCCGAAAGAGGTATATGTCTCTTTCAAAACTGTTAAACATTATGGCATTCCGAACCAATCTTCTTTTGGATCAATTAGATGCTTACCAGAACACATGTTAGCCCGTATACCTTCCGGATCCATTCATTTAAAACATCACTTGGAGACTTCGGTTGTGTATGACCCAACACAACTTCCCAAGGTCCCCATTGAGCCCATTCCAGAAGTGACCAAAACAAATTCATCTAGAGGAAAGGTAAAGAAGTCATCTAAGAGGAAGACTTCCCCCTCAAAGCCAAAAGCTAAAAAGATAACCAAATTCATTTCCTCCTCTCAAAAGGAAGGAGCCCATGACATTCCCACTAACTCTGGCTGTCCGTCTACCCCTCCTGCCCACTCATCTGAGGTACCCCTCGATGTTTCAACATCACTTGCATACACTCACGGGGAGTCTGCTAATAATCTACCCTCACCTTCCCAACAAGGTGATGCTAGTGTTGACAATTTTTCATTCCCCCTGGAACAAACCCACGTGTGACATTTGCTATTCCCCATTCTTCCACACAAGCACGACCCGAAACCATTGTTCTAGACCCTAAACATTCCGAGGCGGGAGTAGTCCCTCCAACATCAGGTGTCGTAATTGGTCTGATACCCGGTAAGGGTACATGACAACTAGGTGCTAATGATCCTCTATGGGAAGACTTTGTTGATAGGTCTCATTCGAGGCATCGGGAACTTACAAGACCACAAGTTAAAGCCACTCTCATTTCGATGCGCAACAGGGCTATTCAAAGCAACTTACCATTTGTTGTTCCTTTTGATGATATCATGGATCTGAACTTTACTTCCAGAGAAATTCCTGAGGCCCCTCATGATTCAATTCAGTCCGATCAAAATGAAGAACTCTTTGAAGAAATGCTTTTTAATGATGACGATGCTTCTGTTGTTGATACTCATGCACTACCATCTGCTCACTTTCAACCCAATCCATCTTCATCAAACCAAAATTTGATTTTGGACTTTCTTCATCTTCTTCCGAACCAGTGGATGAAGAAATTCACATCACAGATCATGATCAGGTTAAAATCGGTGCTGCAACTGACTCAACTCAAAAACCTCAAGAGGATGCTACTACCCAAGACTGCCCTATCCGAAACACAAGCAACTACAGAACCAATCAAATACAAGCCTCAACATTCCACATTGGACACCAGATCCTTGGAACATAAATACATTGATCTGTTTTTCCTCCTTGATATCCAGGCAATGTCTTTGACACTATGAAGAAGGTCGACACACTTAAGGCTTCTGTAACTAGATTCAACACCAAAATAGACGAGAAAGTTTATGGACTGGATACTAAGTTGGATGCGATTCTTCAATCCTTGTCTAAAAACAACTCTGGACCCAACACTGTGGAATGCAAAGCTCAGTTGGATGAACTCATCTCATTAAGTCTAGAGCACACCATTGAGGAGGTTTAGAAGAAATAGGATGAAAGTGTTTATCATTATCTTAACACAATCACCAAGATGTTGAAGGTCCATGACGATATGCTCAATGCTTCCAACGAACTCATTAAGTAGACTCATATTCATCAGGAAAAGCATATCCAACGATTGGAGAAGGAGATTTGGAACAAGGATGGGATGAATCTCATCATGCAATAATTCCTAATCAAGCTTCTTAGAGCATGTTGGAACATTGTGGATGTTCCAAACAACAAATTTGATGAGATGCTCTCGATCTCTCCCAACTGTTCGATCACCTCAAAGCTCAAGCTCCCACTACCGAAGTCTAAGATGCTCTTACTCTTAAACTCAACACCAGTTTTCAAAAGGTGTTTGATAAATTTTCTGACCTGAAGTAATCTGCTTTGCTTGCACCGGTTCCGAGATTCATCAATGTAAGAGGGGAGAAGGCCCAAGTTAACCATGGAAACCTTATTTGGAATTTACTCTGCGAGATGAAAATGAAAGCTCAGATGATTTGCAGGTTCTTTACGGTTCTCCCCAGAAAGTTGATGATGATGATGATGATGATGATTATGTGTGTGTAGATGCTCCAAAATGAGTATTGGGACTTGAAGCTCCAAAGAAGCTCCCCACTAAGGTAATTACGGAGGAAGAACATAACATTTGGTCCATAGTTTCATGGCCAACTACACTGTTGGATGTGCTTTAAAGAAGTATTCAAATGGCTAAGGCTTCCAGGCAATGTCATCCATTCTGCCTCCTATTCTGGTTCCAAAAATTGCTCAAATTGATGAAGGTTCTCCCCTCTGGATTCCAGATGATATTCCAGAAGAAACTCTTCATACCTCTCCTCTGGAATTCGCCATTGATGAAAACATGCAACATCTTCTTTGGTCCTCAACAAAGACAAGGGTAAGAAGCCCATCACAGAAAGCTATCAAGCTCATTCATCTGGACCTCCATCGAAGTGAAAATCAGGATGGTCTCAAGAGGAAATCCATCAAGCTCTAGAGGAAATCATTTAGACACAGGTTCTCAAAGATAATCCACATCTGATGTTGGGACTCTCTCCTCTATGCCGTGAAGGAATAATCCATGATTTGGATTTAGTACCCTTCATGTACTATGATGAAGAGACCTTAAGATCAATCGATATATTAAACAAAGACAATGAGTAAGAACAAGAGAAATTCACGAAGAAAACTTTCACTAAGAAAGATAATCTCACAAAGAGATTATCGTGTGCACAAAGCGACGATTAGGGTTTTTGAAAGACCACGTCTTTACAAACCCGTACAAAAGACTATATAGAACAATTATAGACAATCCCTACAAATCAGGGATATTACAGCTAACTTATACATGATAACTATGGAAACAAGATAAATACTGAATCTGTTACATCAAATACATATACATTGAGTAAACTAAGCTAATATAGACACAGCGGAAATATGTTAGAGCTGACGCTGATACACGTGCTGATGCTGAGTTTATTTTAAACATAATCATATTTCAAGGTTCGACCTTACAATCTCCCCCAATATGATGATGTTCAAAACAAACTAAATAAATACACCTCTTGAGAGAAATTCTTCATACTCAGCTTCAGCTTCAATTTTAACTGGCCAGTAAGGACTGTCCAGCAACTCTTGTCTTCTGTTCAGCAGCTCCATGGCAATAAGGATGTGAAATTCTCCAGATAGATCTTGATGACTCATGCACATTTGCCTTAAGCCAACAAGGTGAGTGATTGGAGCCTTTGGGATCTCAGTGGTTCTTTGAAAGCACATCCTCCTGTTTTTATCTAGATAGAACATTCCGTGCTCAGGAGCTGAGATGAATTGATGCTGAACCGGATCAACACCCAGAGGAAGTGAATTGTTAATTGCACCAGCACCAAAGTCTAGAACCAACACATCTTCGCCATCGACATGAAACTTGGTTCTTCGAGATTTATGAGCTGACAACCTTTGACCTTGATGCTGAGATCGTTCCTTAGGAACAAGATCCAAACGCTGAACTTTCTTAATCAGCAAGTGAAGAGCACAAGTCAGTTCAGAAGAATGAGCTGAGGTTTGCTTGGATGCAAGATTAAGCAGTTCCATCCATTCCGAATACCCATACCTGATCAGCTCATCTCTCTTAACAACTTCAGTATAAGAGTGCTGAGGACCTTGACGAGTGATCAGCAATGTAAGAATTTTCTCGTTTCGAGGCTTAGAAGCTTTGACTTTGATGATCTTATCTCCACACATCCGCCGGTTGAGAACATCTTCAAATCTCTTTCGATCAATCCGGTCAAGAACACTGTCAGTCTTGGGCTTGCTAGAACTAGGAGGAGGTTGAGAAGACTGAGCCCTGGACTGAAATTCAAGAAACTTTTGCATTTGAGCTTCAAAAGATCCCTTGGCCTGAAGTTCGTGCTGAATGAGAGATTCATCAGCTTGAGCAATGTTCTTTAGAAGCTGAGCTTGATTTGCTTCATCAAGAATTTGCTTAACTTGATCAGGGGACATGTTCCATTCAGTGGCAAGATTTGAAATACTGACGATGGACTTTGGTCTCTTCACAGTTGAAGAAGTATCAGTTTGAGAATGATCCAAGTCAGTATCTTCTACTTTCCGCTTTCGAGACAACGGATGAGATTCTTCACTGGCAATGTCCGAATCTTCTCCTTGGACCGGAATGATTGAATCAGCAATAGGATCGGCAAGTATCGGAATAGATTCTTCAAGATCATCTAAGCTTTCTTGCTGAACTGGAATGAGAGGATCAATAAAGTTCATGTCAAAAATTTGACATTCATCATCAGGTTCATCACGCTCTTCGTCATCATCACTATCTTCAAATAATTTCTCAGTGGCTGCTGGACTACTATGCCCCGCAGAATCAGATTCGTGTTCATCATTATGCTCACTATCATCAGATAACCTTTCAGTAGCTGCTGGACTATCATGTCCCGCAGGATCAGCTTCTTCAACGGGGTTGAGTGAGTCATGCTGAAGAATAGTGTTGTCACCAGTTGCTGTGTCTTTTTCATTTTGATCTTCATCATCATGAGCATTTTGATCGCTATCAGCATGATCATCAGCGTGATCATCAGTATCTCCCCCTTTTTGAACATCATTGGATATGGGACGAGAAGCAGGAGTAAGTAAAAGAACCTCCTTGATTTGCTGAACATCAGCCTCAATATTAAGCAGACGCTGACTCATGTCCCGAGTCAGTGACATCAGTTCAGAGAATGCGGAAGCAGGAATTTGAATCATGGATGTACCTGGAGCAACTGGAAAGCTGGATTGCATCCTTGGAGAGAAGTGGCGAGCTGCTGGGGATGAATGCTCCCCCGGAGAGTGAGGCATCCCTTGAGAAGAATGCTCCCCCTGAGACTGATGATCCCCCTGAGATGGTTGCTCCCCTTGAGACATGGGATCCTGTGGAGCTGAGGAGGCAGGACCAGTGACAGGGTAAGGTGAGGAGAAGGTGGAGGGGAGGAATGGCCGCCATCATAACGATCCACTTCTTGATCAGCATGATCCACATGATCACCATCAACACCTCCTTCATCAGTATCAGCTGAGAGAGAAGGCATAGTGTATGGATGAGCAATCCATTCTCTCATCCTATCTGAGATCCCAATGTCTGAATCCAAAGGATCATCCTGATACATGCGAACGGACATGCGAGGGCATTGGATTGGATTCCCAGAGTGAGAAAAATAATCAGCAGCGAAGAATTTGTCGAACACCAGGGCAATCCAGCGAGGAAAGGGAACATGATCAGCACGCACATTTGCACGTAGAAGTTGAACAAGCTGATCAAAGAATAGTGCCCCATAATCCAGTCTTTTGTTGAGAAGAGAGAGCAGACGACTTGTTGCTCATAATTACTCAATTGATCACCACTCCGAGACTTGTGGCCCACACACTTGCACAAGGCACCAGTGAAAAACTTCCATCCTGGGGTCATGCACTGACGCAAAATAAGGGCTGATCGAGTACCAGCCTTTGAATGATCATAGCCCAGTTGATCAAACATGCGTTTACATCTTTCAATAGTTGGGGTTCAGAAAAAGGTTCGAACAGAGGTAATCGTAAAGCAGCGCTGAGAAGCTCTGCAGTGATAAAGACGGAGTGTCTGCCATGGCCAATTGTTCCGGTGATGGCATTGTTTTCTTCATTAACTGTTGCAGTATAGTAAAACTCACATACTTGTTCAGGGAAGAACTCGGATGGTACGTCACTGATTGCGTATCGGAGGCGGCAAGAAGTCAAGAAATTGACGAAATCATCGAGTCCAAGACCTCGATGAACCTCTGGAATGTCAGGGTTGAATACGACATTGGTGGCCTTGATGTGAATTGGAAGTGGAGGAGAGTTTGGGGCAGGAGTGACTCTTCGAGATGTTGATGAGTAGGTGAACAGAGATGCCGCCATTGGAGAGTATTTGAGAAATCTAGGGTTTTGGGAGAAAGGTTTTGGGAGGAAAATTAAACCAAGGGATAAAGTGAGTTAAGTATGGAATGAAGAGGGGTTTCCTTTTATGTGTTTTATTCGAAAAAGGTAATAATTATCTTTACGAAAAATAACGGCGCAGCGTAACAATCTGTCAGAATAGAAATAGCCGTTGGAGAAAAGAGCCGTTGACTGAAGGTGTAGCGTCAATCAGAGGTTGCGGAAGCGCTGAGTTCATAGTCACAAAGGTTATGTGCTGAGAAATTCTCCATCAATTCAAGGTACAACTTGCATAAACTGGGCTAGCAAGCAGATTGGTGCGTGTGATAGATACTAGTTACATTATCTAACCATCGGCACAGATTGTTGTGAGTTCATCAGTAAGTGGTTTATCTTACTGAATCATTAGACACTGAATAAGAAGGGGGTAGAGAATGGATTGTTGCGTGTGATAGACCGTGTGTTTTGGTCTAACCATCGGCAAAGATCTGTAAACTCTCATCAGTGTGTGTTTTGGCACACTGAATCACAGAATCAGTGTAAGATTGGTGAGAAGAGGTAGTTGCGTGTGATAAATCTTGGTATTTTGATCTAACCATCGGCAAAGATTTTAGACCCTCATCAGCGTGTGTTTTTGGCACGCTGAATCACAGAATCAGTGTAAGATTGGTGAGAAGAGGGTAGTTGCGTGTGATAAATCTTGGTATTTTGATTTAACCATCGGCAAAGAGTTTCAAGTCGTTATCAGTGTATGGTTTAATACAGTGAATCATTCAACTTTTGTTTAGAAGATTTGAAGAAGAGATCAAGATAAGAAATCAAACAAGGTGCTCAGTATCAAATATCATCAGAATGTCATCATCAGCACAATGTACATCAGCTTATAAGACAATTGCAAACATTAGCACAATTAAATGTTAAATTTAATTATAAGGAAATCATTCCCAGTTCTCCGATAATATAAGCAGTTGATTGAGAATCCAGTGCCTTTGTGAAGATATCAGCTAGTTGCTCCGAAGTCTTGACATGTTCAAGAACAACTTTTCCTTTTTCAACATTATCTCTGATGAAATGATGTCGGATTTCAATATGCTTTGTCTTGGAGTGCTGAACAGGATTTTGTGTGATCTGAATGGCACTGGTGTTGTCACAATATATGGGAGTCTTTGAGAACTTGAATCCATATTCGAGAAGCTGATTTTGAATCCATAAGAGCTGAGCACAACATCTTCCGGCGGCAACATACTCAGCTTCTGCAGTTGAGATGGCTACTGATGTTTGTTTCTTGCTGGACCAACTGATGAGACGATTTCCGAGGAAATGACATCCACCAGATGTACTCTTTTTGTCTAAATTGCATCCAGCATAATCTGAGTCAGTGTAACCATAAAGTTCAAATGCTGAGTCACGAGGATACCATAAAGCAAGGTTTTGAGTTCCCTTCAAGTATCGAAAGATACGTTTAACAGCCATGAGGTGAGATTCCTTTGGATTAGCTTGGAATCGAGCACAGAGAATGGTGCCAAACATAATATCAGGACAACTTGCTGTGAGATATAGGAGGGATCCAATCATTCCTCGATACAGAGAGTGATTGACATCAGTTCCAGCTGGATCAGCGTGTATCT